AGTTGTATGAGGCGATATGCCTCCCGGAGGATAAAGATCCTCAGTACCACGCCTCCCATATCCAAGCTACCAAGTTCAGGGCCTAGTGGAGGATTCTACATATGCTTCTCACCTGATCAGTGATTTTGAGTCTCTAGGCGCGAGGGCAGGTGACCCTATGAGGAAAGCTGGCCCTACACACCGGGTCTACCCACAACACCACTCCACCTTGGCTCAATGGTTTCTCCTACATTCTCGAGGATCCTGGTTCGACCTCGAGTGGCCATGATGCATATGGGAGCCATCATCACCTGTCTGTCCAGATACTTCGGACTGGACACCACAGGCTGCACTGTGGTGGCCCGAACAAAGCCTTTCACGGTGGAGACACTCCACAACATGCATGTAGTAAAGAAGGAGAGGGTAATAGATTACATTGACGGAATGAGCCCCTCTGTTGTACTGATGCCTATTGCAGAGCAGCCACTAAATGAGCCAGAGACACACCCTTCAGAGGGACCTCTACAACCACCACATCGGCAACGTCGCCACACTAGAGCATTTTTGGCCGTTATTGAGGGTCGAGTGACTCGCCTTGAGCACCACGTTGAAGGAGTCTTTTCTCAGCTTATGCGAGAGGTAGATGGTCCTTGTCATTCCCACCACTTGCTCGAGGAGATGGCCCAAGTTCAGGGTATCCAGGCCAGGACAACTGTCAGGCTTCTCCGCCTCGCGAGAGGTAGACGACTGAGTGAAACATGTGGCCGAGCAGTTTTGTAGCCCCACTTCTCCACTTCGACTCTGAACTCTATTTTTATTTTCTTTTTTTATTATGTGTGTTAAACTAGTACTATTATTTTTGTTTTATGTTACGTGGTATGTTGAGTACTATTATTTTGTAATAACCTCGCCTTGTGCGAGTTTGTTTGTGCTTGTTCTTGTTGTGTTGTTTCCTTGTGAAGCTATCTCCTCTTCTATTCGGTCTAATGTTCGACTTTCACTTGTTAATGTTCGGTAACTTCCTCACCCTACCCATTTTCCATTGCGGACAATGTCGTGTTTAAGTGTTGGGGGTGTATTATTTATGATTGGTGGGTGAAATTGATGTGAATTCATGTTCATAGTGGTTGGTTGTAGAGGATATCGTGGTTATTAGCATTGTATATGGATGAATTTGTTGTGATTGAGTGCAACCTTTGATGATGATTGAGATATGCATTAGGTTGGTGCAAGTGTTTAGTTCTCATGTGTGTGCAAACCAATTGATGTGTTTGGATGGATTACTCATTGAACACAATTGCTATGCAACAAAATTTGGAAGTTGGAATGAATGTTTGAGCATCTAGGTAGCCATGTGAGATTTGTGTGCTCATCTTGTTCTTGTGTGTTAGATCCTTCTTACCATGATTGTAACATTCACGTTGTCACTAGCAAAGAACATGGAGGCAAAGGATTGGCCCACGACCCAAAAATTGACTTGTCCCTATTGCATTATCCGCTACTCAACCCTTTTGGGTCGTGTGTCTTAGGGTTGCTCTCATGTTGTGTATCTCGTGCTATGTGAACTTGATTGCAATTAGGAAGAGCGACCCTTGATTTCTTCGTGCTTCTTACACCATTTTCGAGTCACCCTTGTGCTTCGAAGCTCCCATCATTTGAGCTTCATTGAGGTTTCACTTTATGTGTCTTGGTTGGCCATTGATTGTGTTGAGTGGTTTTGTGCCGGTTTGACAGGTTCTAGGTGAATTGTGGAGCCTCATGCTTCATATGCCACCACCCAAAAAGCTTTGTCCCCATGTCCGAGACCCTAACCAATCATTTGAACCCGTGTCTAAGACCTCCGAACAAGCTAGTGATGACACCCGTCTTGTGAGCTCTAGCATTTAGAGCTTACCGTCATGGTGAAGAGAAGAAATGGCTTAGTGTTGAGTATGCACATATTTTGCATCAAATGGTTTTGACCCCACTGGTCGAGAGTGAGTTCATTCATCTTACCTTGTTCATATCATATCCCAACGAGGACCTAGTTTTCTCATTCGTTTGTTCCTATGATGTGATCTTTATGAATGGATAATTGTGGTGGTGAGTCGTTGTCATTACAAATTATGTGTTGGTTTGTGACCAAGGTGGGAACTTTTTGTTTGCACGTTATTAATGCATTCGAATGTCATTTATAGTGGTTGTCAGGATTGCTTGTTGTTGTCTATATGTCACTGCCTAATAGACATTGAGATCCATCCACTTTGTGCCCTTTGACATGTCCTCAAGTTATTGTGTTTAGGTTGAAATATTACCTTGTTTGGGATTGGTTTGCTTGGGGACATCAAACGTCCAAGTGTGGGGGAGTAACTTGGGCATAACTACACCTTTTTCACCCATATTCTTGTGATGTTTGAGGCGTTTACATTGCCCGAGGTTCAATTTGACTCTAGGTTGTGCATGTTTTTAGCATGTTTTTGGTCTTAGCGGGTGGAATTGACCTCAGGAGCGAAAGTCGAAAGAAAGAGGGCAAAAATGGAGCAAAACAGATAAAAAGGCAGAGATCACGACCAATGCACTTTTATCACGGGCTAGAGATCGTGAAGAATGATCGGCAACCGTGAAGATTGCCAAGATCCAGGAAGTTTTGCACGTCTCGTGGGCAAGTCAATTGTCCAGGCACCAGACTGTGACAATTTTGCTCCGACCGTGAAAATGATAAATGAAACAACGCGTTTTGGGCCGAGATCACAGGCACGCTTCCAAGATCATGGTTATGACATATGACCAAGATAATCACCTGCATGGAGTATATAAAGAGGAGTGAGCTAAATCTAAAGAAAAGGAGTTCTTTAGTGAGATTAGCTTCTTCTTGAGCTAGAGAGAGAAAGTCACAAACTAAAGGAGGAAGAAGGAAGTTCTTGACCTAGCTAAGACTTGAAAAATGAAGATTTCTCTCTCTTCTTGGTAAGTTCTTTAGTTTTATTTCCATCTTTGTTGTATTCCTCTTCTTAGTCATGAAGTAGTTCTCCAATTCACCTGGGTATTGTGACCCTAGTGTAGAAATGTGGTAGATTGTAGGAATTGAAATCTAAGTATGTTTGATGTGTGTTTAGTATAATGTTTGAGGTGTGTTCATGATTTTTGAGTGTTGTTCTTCATATCTCAAAATCAAGTCTAATTGACCTAGGTGGAGGAAATAACTCTTTGGGCCATAAGAAGCTAGATTTCTTAACCAATTGGGTAACCCCATCTAGGCAATTAAGGGCATGCCTCAAACATCGAATTAGTGCCATACTTCCATGAATTTATCGTGATTGGTTACTTTACGTCGTTCCAAATTAACCTCCAAGGGATAGTTCTTGCAATCCTTAGCCGATTGATTAAGAGGCCTAGGTCTCCTAGCCTAATTTGGTATTCCTTAATCGATTAAATTAGAGAGTGGGGTTACCCTACTCATTGCACCCTCCTCACGTATTTGAACACATCTTTCCACACTAGAGTTCTATTTGTTGCATCTTGATACGTGACTAGGTGGAGTAATACCCGGGTGAAGCTTTCTCACATCGGATTCACCACAACTTTCTTTCTTGTTTGTTTTCAATTATAGTTCTTTAGCTTGAACTCCATACCTTTTGCTAGAAATGTTTTAAATGATTGAAGTAGGGGTACATGGACCGCCTCGAGTTGACATTTTAAAACACTTTCCTTATACAGCACCCTTATAGATTTTGTACTTGGGTTTTAGTCAGAATTTAATTGTGTAGTTAGAAATGAGTCATCGAGCTAAAGTGCATCGTATCATTTACACATGTCATGGTCTCTTTTGTAAATGTCATGGTTGAAGCATGTGGTTTTGCTCCTGGAACCTTGCGAATCTCAAGGCTGCTTCTGTGGATGTCACGATATGACCATGACATTGGTGCTCTGAATCGTGACTTCTACACGGTGTATTGATGGTTCTATCGTACACTAGGCAAAAGCTGGTGTATTTCGTACACCAGAAAATCTCCATCGTACGCGTCCATCTCAATGGTCAACATAATTGAGAGTTTTTGTTTTTTGTGGGATTATAAATAAATTATCGCATTTATGCTGACCTTTGAGATGGACACGTAGGTGAAGATTGCCTAGTGTACGACATACACCAGCTTTTTCCCGGTGTAAGATAGAAGTCACCATATATATGTATATGTATGATACACTAAGATCAATTGAGTTAGAATCAATAATCGACGATCATGATTCGTTGAAATACATTCAACAAAATGATATGCACCATCTTAGTTTTAAGGATTTATAATTTATATAATTAAGACCTAAGGTTCACTCATTAATGGGTTAGGGTATAGTATCATACCCAAAATCCTGTGAATTTGAGGTGTAGATAAAGTTTATAACCAATAGTAGGCGGTACTCCAACTTTTATATGGTTTACAATATAATGCACCGTATATAGAATCAAGAATAAGCTATAACATTGTCTAAGAAACCTCTAGGGTTCACCAAGCTACACAACTATCGAACAAGCCATTCATGGGGACATAATATATGAGATACATTAGTCGTGAACGCGACTAACTATACTCTATGGAATGACGACCTAAGAGCAAAAATGGTGCTTAAGGCTCTACTCTACCCTTTATGATCAATTCTTATTTGTGGTGAGTAGCGCTGACTACAAAGTAACATCCTGCCCAAGATTTGACTTTAAATGCTTGATGATGGGGTCTATTTATAGGTCTTTCGATAATATTTTCTCGAATAGTTTAAGTACATTTATCATGTTACATTTTGTTTCTTAATTTTTAATGAAAAATAATATTTCAATATTTTCCCTCTAAATTACATACATAGCTCGACCCGTCTCGACATGTGCTCCATGATAAATTACCGGGGCTGCGAGGGATATCGAAATATGACTTCAACCTACACCATTGTCGTTTTGACACGTTTCTCTCACCTCATCCTTCATGGGCCTTCCCCTCTCTCTCTTCCAATCTCGGATATAAATACCTTTGCCACTCTTCTTGATAATTTTCCTCTACCCTTTCCGGGGGTTTCTTTTTAGCGGAGGAGAGGAGGACTAGACACAAAACCCAAACTAAAAGAGAAAAGGAGGAGGAAAAAAAAAAAAAAAAACACAAAGGAAATCTCCCAAAGGAACGAAGAGAGAAACAGAACCGAGCCAGCCACACCCTTGCGCTCTCTCCTTCCCTCCCTCCCCTTTTCTTTACATTCAGCAAAGGCATAGAGTTTGATTCAACAACAAGAGGAAGAAGCAGACGAAGCTTAACAAGAAGATCCATTTCTTCTCTTCCCGTCTTTCGATATATAGATACACATACGCAGAAATTGGAGAGAAAGAGAGACAACGAACCAGGTAGAGACGGATTGGATGTCCATTTAGAGAGAACAGAGGAAGAGAGGGCGAGAGAGAGGGGAGACACAGACTGTTTTGCCTTAGTGGGAAACCATGGGTTTCGTTTGTTGTTTCCACCAGTGATCTCAGTTTTATCTGTTCCTCTATTTCCGTCTTTGAGATCTTGTCCATCCTCCTTTTAACACATTGCCTACTTTGGAACCCCACCAGCGATCCGTATGAAACAAACCCTTCAACACTCTCCTTAATTAGTTTTCACCTTAAAATTCCCGTGTTTCTGGGCATTCGAAATATCTGCTCTTTTGATCATTAAAAGTTTCAAACTTCGATGTTGTCTTCCCGTTAACTTTCACTCTCAAATAATTCTAAGTGCTTCCGGTGTTGGGCAATTAAAATTTGTTTCGCTTCTTTGCTTCGCGGAGTTTGTTGATTGGTTGTGTTTTTTGTCTAGGGTTTCGGCCGGTACGTCAGTGGGAGTCTGCCCTAATTGTGGTCTCTGGAGGATCTGCCTTAATTGTGGTTTTTACTGAGTATTAGGGTTTGTATATAAGGAACAAGGAGTTGGAGATTTTGGGATCACTGGCTACGGTTTTAGATTCGCACATTGAATCTTGCAAAAATCAGAGGTGCGGTTTGGACAGAATCCTCAAGTTACAGTCAAAGAAGTTGCTAACAGGTTCAGATTGGCACTTAAGGGGCCTGGATTTTGATTCCTGAACTTGAGGGAAGCTCTTGAACTGCCTTTTGCTTGCTAGCAGATTGTGGATTGGAACTTCAGCATTTTAAGCAAATCATTGAACTGATTGGTTGAACTTCATTGGTCTGAGGGACTACTGGAACTAGACTCATTGTTACTGCTAGAGAGTTACCCTCTTAAAGCTGGTTCTCAGTTAGGATATTTGGAAGGAAATCACGGACTTGAGGAGTTTTTGGAGACTGCCTTTTGGATGGTTCTTTTGATGGATGATGTATTGATGTAATCAGGAAATGACCGCGGGGACATGGTGTTTGGGCAAGAGCATAGTTTATGGTCTGTTCCTGTCTTGGAACAACTGCACGGAAAACTAGATAGAACTTTTGGGTTGGTGCGGAGCTGCTACTTAGTCATATCCAGGGTTATGTGCGATGTCTCGTTGCTTTCCATTTCCTCCACCAGGATATGAAAAGAAGACTAGAATTGATGATGCCGACTTGCTGACAAAGGTTTATATGCTGCTTCTAGTTACTGTCATATGCTAGCTTCCATTTGTTTTTGGATTCATCTTTGTTTAGCCATTCTACATCTATGTTGGTGTGGCCATTGCGAGAATTATTTGGCATTTAACTCTGGAATGATGTAATTTGGGCTTAAGGTTAAGGCATTTGACCTAGGATGAGATTACATTTTCTAAAAACTTGTGATGGGCATTACAGAGTTTTGACATGAGATAGGCAAAAGTATGCTAGTCTAAATCAGTGAATTGCGACAGCTTCGAAGTCAATAATTAATCTATCATGGTCATAGTGGTGGCCAGCGTGACAAAAAAAAAAAAAAAACAAACTAGAAAGAATTTGCTTGAATTGGTGGAAGTATGAAATACACTTACAAGTGGTAATCCGAAACTAGCAAGATGTAGAGAAGCTATCCTACACTAACCTGTGTAAATGACTAAATGTTATGATACTTGTTCGTGTTGAACAAGAGTATTACCCTTCTTCCCCAGTGGACAATATAGAAGGATTTTACTCTTATTTATAGCAGCACAATATAAAAGTTCTTTTGGATACCTTTTCCCTGCGCAACGCGGTTATTGAGATATTAATTTCGTTTACAGCTCTTTTGTTCTGATTGATGAATATCTCATCTGGTGTAAGCTGCAGAACCTTCTTTTGTTAGTACTAGAAAAGTATTTGTATAGTTAAAAATTCTGTATTAGGTAAATGCATTCTGGAGTGAGCATTAATTCACTGAAAGTTAGAATGCCCTTAGTATTACTCTTATGTTGTTGCACATCGAACCATTTGAGACTGAGGTTTTGATAAAATCTTGATGCTAACCTTGTTTCAATTATAGTTTGGCATTTTGATTTTCGAGGTTATAGGTTTGCTAGTCTCTTTTGGTTGATTTTGATAGCCTCAAGGAAATCAAATATAGCATCTTTGACCAAGTACCTGCAGTTTTGTTAACCTCTCTCTGCTGCTGTGCTATTTTTTGTGGCTTTCTTAACGGACTGTCCTTAGTGAGTTTTGAGTTGCAGGATTGTATGGTTATCATTTAATAGTCCCTTGCATCCATGCTTTTGGTTTATGATCATGGGTCATCTGAGTATTTCTTGAAATTTATCTTTTACTAGCTAGTTATTGCACTCTCTGACTTGTTGAGGATAGTAGAAGAACCCTGGGATCCTTAGCATTGTAGTTCCTGGCCAGTAGAAGTGAGCGTGATGAGGGTTTGTCTTACCTAACTGATTAGTCACTTTGCATGAGTGAGTTCAACTGAATATCTGCTAGCGCTATCAACAAAAAGTGGAAGATTTTGGGTTTTCGGAGTTACCTTCGATGAATAAGGAAATAAAACTTTATTTTATTTAAAGCTTTTTCAAAGTTATGTTGCGATTTAGTTTGATTTTGATTTGAGGACAGAGACGTATGATCTCTATTGTCAAGATCCTTGTTCTCTAATTGTTTTTTGACTTTAAGGTCCAAGTTGACTTATGGGCTGCCCTGCTGTTCTAAATATTTGCATTGGGCTTTCTGGAGTGGAGGAAGACATTACTTCCCATCTGTTCATGTTAGGGAGATAGTTTCCACTCCTTTCATGGTGAAGTCATGTGAAGCAGCATCTGAAGCTTAGGAGATGCTATTAATTAGGGAGATTACTGCCAATCTGGTCATCTTAGGGAGATAGGTTCCACTTCTCTCATGGTGGGGTCATGTGAAACAGCTTCCTGAAGCTTCTGTGATGCTAATATTTATCTTTCTGTGATCTTGCTATCTTTTGATGAAAGATTCACTATAGATGGATGAACCCCTACGTGATCTCCGGTGTAGATGGTTGCTCTATGACATTCCTTTTTTATTGGCTCTTTCCTGTTTAAGTAACACTGATTGTAGATTGTATTTCCAGGAGAAGCATAAGGAGAAAAAACACAAGAAAGATAAGAAGCACAAAGAGAAGAGGGATGATAAAGACAGAAGTAAAGAAAAACATAGGGAAAAGAAACAACGAAAAGAGAAGGACAAAGGCAAGGAAAAGGATGGGGATAAGGCGAAAAATCAAACCTCAGTTGAGAACAGAGTTGAAAGGCAGCCAGCATTCAGTAATGAACACAGCGCTGCCTCAAGTGGTGTCCAGAATAATGAGATCAAGGATTCAAAATTCGTGCAGGAGTTGGCCAAAAGGATCAGGGATGATAATGGAGTATCACCGAGCCAGATGGTGCACAAGATTGCTGCTACCAGTCAGAAGAGGGCAGAGCCAAGACGAATGTCCTTGGACAGCAATTTTGCGGATCAATCCAAGGAAAAAGAGAAAATTAAGGGTAGTGGTGAAGATCACTGGATGGCCAACGGGCAAAGGGATCTCATTGATGCAAATGAAGCGGAGAAACCATTTGCTCAGAACTTCACTGGTATTGATAACCATAGAGCTGAAGATGCTGGCAAACAGAATGCAAAGAAGAATGGTGAGAAACCTACAGAAGGGAAAGAGAAGAAGAAACACAGGGAGAGTAAGGGAGACAAAGTCAGAGATAAAGATGGAGGTTCAAAATCAAAGAACAAGGAACGGGATAAAGAAAAGAGAAAGGAGGAGAGAACGATAGAGGTAAAGGAACCAGGTAAAGGTCAGATACTAAAAGAAAGTAAGAACTCCTTGGACTCTCGGAATTTCAAAACATCTGATCTAGCAAGGTTAAGTAGCACAACTTTTGGTAGTGAAGGAACTGTGGGGAAGCCCAAGGAGGTTGAGGACGAGATGTTACAAGAGCAAGGTCCTGGATTAAAAGAAAATAACTCTTACCCCCTCGACTTTCGGAACATTAAAAGCTCAAACCCTTCAAAGTCAAGCAGCACAAATTTCAGCATTGAGGGAGCTCCTGGAAAACCTCGTGATATTGAGGATCAGATATTAAGAGAAAGTATTCCCAAATCGAAAGAAAGGGAGGACCCCCTGGACTTTCGGATTGTGAAATCCTCGGATGCATCAAACAATGCAACTTTCAACAATGAGGGAACTCTTGTCAAACGCAAGGAGCTTGATGATGGTGGTCGCATAGTAAAAAAAAGTATCAAGGAGACTCTGGACTTCCAGAATTCTGATGCATCAAAGTTAAGCAGCATAACTTTCAGCAATGACGGAACTCTTGGAAAACGCAAGGAGTTTGACAAAGGTCACAAAATAAAAGAATGTATCAAGGACTCCCAGGATTCCCGGAATATCAAAACCATGGATACATCTAAGTCGAGCAGCACAGCTTCCAGCAACGAGGGAACTCTTGGCAAATGCAAAGAGCTTGATGGCAGTGGTCAGAAAGTGAAAGAAAGTAAGAATCCCCCAGAATTCCAGAATAACAAAATCTCAGACCCTTTGATGCTATGCAACACAACTTTTAGCAGTGAGGGAACTCTTGGCAAACGTAAGGAGCTTCAGGTCAATGGACACATGCTTGGTGAGTTTTCTAGTGTATGGGGTAGAATGCACACTGTATATGCTATTAACTCCAACAATTGGGGTTCCAATGTGTTTATGACAAGCAATTGGGTATTTGAATTGATCTATTACAATGATCCTGGGTGTGTTTTTCTCTAGGATATTGTTGGTCTTTTCGTTGTTTCTGCTTCTCTGTTATCTCTATACCTAGTGAAAGACTCGGTGGTTGCAGCTTCTAGTGTAGAGTGTACTTGTCCCCATTGTTGTTTCTTTTCCTGGTTTAGGGGATGGTTAATTGGACATTGACTTACCTCTAATTTCAACTTTTTCACAGACAATGGTCACCGGCCTAATAAATTGCTGAGACCTCTCCCTTCCTCTGATTCAGTTATCCATAATGGAAGGAAATCAGAACCATTCCAGACCGCTGTTCAGCTTGCATCTGAGAAGCAGGAGGCTGATAATGGTTACGGGATGGATATCAAAGAGCGGAAGATTAATGGGCTTAAAACTGTGGAACAGTCCAATTCATGCCTATTGAGGCCTCCATGTGCTAATGTGCCAGCTGCTGGCAGCAAAGAAACTGTGAAATCACCACATCCTGATGCCAAGTATCTGGATCAGATACTTTCTGTGCCTGAAGGGGTCGATTTGCCTTATTTCTGCAACCAGGACTGGCTATTTAGTGGCATTCATCAGTTAAAGAAGCCTCGCAGGGGTTCACCTGAGGTTGATGGAACAAAGCAAGTATGGGATGCAGCCCTTCGGATAGAGTCTGCTGAAGTTTCGGCTCTGCCATATGTCATTCCATACTGATTTGGTGCTTAGCAAATAGGTCTATGGCTTGCCATTCCTCCTGACCGCAGTTAAAAACTGCTATTAGGGCATGCTGACATTTGCTATTGAGAAGTTTGGTATGTCAACGCTGTCCCCATTATATTATTTTTGCACGGATCAGCTTCTTAGAGTGCAGAGAGCATAGATCTGATCTCCGCTGCAGTAAAATAATAGTGGGTTTCCGTTTTCCATGGTCTGGAAGCGATTCATTTTGGGATCGGTTGCAGAAAACTAACCAAGTTTTGTGCCTTATTCCCCAGAATATTAGCGGTTTCGTTGAATTGCCTTGTGCTTTTGTGTTTGTGTGGCGATTACCTTACCTCTGGGGGTGGGTTAGACGGAGCTGCATCTGAGTGAAATGGAGAGTGAGATAGGGAGGAGAAGAAAAGGTTAAAATGGATACCCTTTTTGGGGACTCTGATTAGCTTTAGAGTAAAGAGTGGGTAAAAGGATAGTGAGTTGGGGTTGAAGTGGCCATTTGTGTTAACAAGCCAACAGTTTTGATTGTTTCTTAGAGGTATACGTAATAATGTAAATTTTATCTTAGAAGGAAGATAGTGAAGACGTAATCTTATTAAGTTCCAGTGGTGTTTTCCGAGTTGAGATCTCTTTGTTATTCGAGAGCAGATTTTTCTGTTCTGAATCCGTGGACCTCATGAAACCTGTCTTGCCATAGTCAATCTCTGTTGAGCTCACTTTGTTGATATAGTTGGAGCTGATTTGTGGTTCATAATTACTTGATACAGTATCTGGTATAGTTGATTTTGATGCAAGCAAGGCAAGAGGAACTGAGAGAAGTTTTTTGATTATTGGTCTCTAACTAATGAACTCTTTAAAGTAAGTTGGGAGGTCGGCTTCTTTTGAAAAAATTAGTAAGAAGATAAGATATTTCAAAAAGATTTAATTTAGTCGTTGTGAAATGGCTGATGGGTGATGACCTTGTTCGTTGGCCGGGTAATGGCTGTATGAAATGTTTGTTGAGTATGATTGTTTCGATCGAAATGTCATTGGACCAGATGACTGGTTTGTGACTTCGATAGAATATATGAAGATAATGTCTTCATAATGTGAAAACAGAGAATGAAAATATATTTATTTATGTTTTTATCTATTGTTGTTGCAAACCGTAGTAGACAACACAACATAAATTAACTTAAGTGATTTCATTTAAATGACTTTGTGGCCAAATCATGCTAGATGTATATGTATTTTTTCCTCTGTATTTTTAAAAAACTCATTCCCAAAACATTATTGTCAATATTATTTTCATCTCTATCGATTTTCTCATAGTTTATCATGCCACATTATTTCTCTTATTATTTGCCTACTTTTGCCTTAGTATCGACATTCTTATATAAAACTCATGGTTCTACTTTTTACTATTTATTAAGAGAGTTTATGATAAATAATAACATAAACTCTAAGGCCATTAGTCATAAATTCATAGTGTTACGTGTGGGCCCTTTCAAACTTCTTTTAATTTTCATTCAATCTCCTCTTTTATTTATATCTCTTTTTCTTTTCTTTTATTTTTATCTCTCAATAATTTGACGAATCGAACTTCTTAGTCCGTATTTGATTTTTGCCGTCTTATTTATCTCTTTTTCGATCAAGTTTGAATATGAAGATAACTGAAAATTTCCTTATTCTCCATGAAAAGAACATAAGTGTCCTCTGAACCAACAACACAAGATGCTACGTTCGTCCTTCATGTTGTTTTTTTTGTGATTTCAATAACTTCATTGTTCGTATTTGGTTTTGCCCCCTTATTTATCTCTTTAGCGATTTGCTAGATTTGAGGACACCCGCAAGGTGGGAGAACGAAGTCGCGATAGCAGTACTCATAGAAGAACAAGAGAATCACAGTAATAAAATCTCAACAATTCAAATCAAGTTCTACAACCAAAAAGGATTTCAAGTTTACTTTTTTGTTTGTTGTTCCCCAATCGATACTTATTCATTGGCCACCGAGTCCAATTTTATTGTTTGCTTCAATTTATTCCAAAATATGTTTCTCAATTCTTATTAAGCTCCTTAGTTGTTCCTATTCATGGAATATCTTATCATGATTGATTTTATCACCTGTTAATTTTTCATCAAATGAGGGTTAGGCCAGCAGTTTTTTGAATTTGTGTTCTTTACGTATTAGTTTATCACATCGTTTCGCTTGACGCGGAATGCAATGAACAGGCTTTTCTAATTGATACTAAACGGGCACTAAAGAAATAACTAAACACTTACATGTTTTTGATTGCTACCTTTCATGATTTTTTTTATCAACTAAACATATTTTCTATTTTCTATTTTCATCATGTTGTGTTGTATTTCTGTTTGCAACCAAAACCATAAGGACAACAAACTATACTAGACGCCAGACAGGCCGTAGAATACTTACTAGAGTTGTTCTTACCAATTACAAGGGGAAATCGACAACCAATGGATATATCCATGTAGAGCTTAAAAGTAGAGCAGTTTGTACCATATATATATATATATATACTAATATAAAGTAGAGCAGTTAGATTTTCCTTGATAATTATTTTGGGAATAGGTTTATGGCAGCTAAGGATTCGTCAGAATCAGAGAGGGCGTTTGTTCTTAGGGATTTTCTGCTATAGGAGATTTCACAGATCGCATTACCTAAAATACAATAGGCATTACGTAATTGTTATGTAACATATGGTAATCTTATATAACAGTCATTACGGAAGCCTTACGTAATAAGATGTGTCTTTACGTGATGAGTATTAACCTCACATACGTAAAATGCTAAGTCATTCCTGAAGCCTTACGTAACGTTACTGATTTAACTATTACGTAAGAAATAACTCCCATTCCGTAACCGTTATGTAATGGAAGGTCTTTTTACGTAATGAGTATTAACCTCGCGTTACGTAAAGTCCTAAGTCATTACAAAGGGCTTATGTAACGCTTCCGATTTAACTGTTACGTAAGAAATAACTATCGTTCCGTAACTTTAAGTAATGAATGTGTATTTTACGTAACAGTTGTAAAATGTCATTACGTAAGCCTCGCATAATAGAAGGTCTCTTTATGTAATGAGTATTAACTTCGTGTTGGGTAAAGAGCTAAGTCATTACGGAAGCTTTACGTAACGCTTCCGATTTCACTGTTACGTAAGAAATAACTATTGTTTCGCAACCTTTACATAATGGATTTGTATGTTACCTAACAGTTGTAAAAGGACATTATGAAAGCTTTACGTAATGGAAGGTCCTTTTATGTAATGAGTATTAATCTCATGTTACGTAAAGTGCTACGTCATTACGGAAGCTTTACGTAATGCTTCTAATTCAATAAAAATTAAAAAAAGAAAGAATTAAAAAAGAAAAAACAATTAAATGTGAAAAATGAAAGAAAACTTAAGAAAGGTAATTACGTTGGTGGTGACCGGCAACCCCTGTTGCCATTGATTTTTTTACTTATTTTTATTTTTTAATCAATGCTTTAAAATAAGTTTGATCGATTTTGACGGTTTAGATCCATGCAAGTTACCTAATTTGAAATTATATCCAAGTTACTGTAGAAGGTCCCTTGTTCTTATTGATTGCAGCTGTGTTGCCTATTTATGGTGTGGAAGTGAGATCAACGCCGAGCATCAAAATCCGTTTATGCAGTCCTGGTTCTTTATTGACTCATTTGAGTGGCTGGATTTTGGTCTCAAATTGACCAACATGTTTATGTACGACTTGATATAATTGTTACCAATTATTTATGACACGAAAAATATACATTTTATCTCCTGATTACATGACATGTTATGCACATTTTTTCATATGTTTAGCCATTTTAACTTGAATTTGCTTGATATTTGCTCAAATGTGCATTTGATGGTCTTCAGGAGTGTTTTTATACGTTTCATACGTTTTTTGGTAGTTTATGGATATTTTCATACCAATGCATCATGGAGTATGATAATGGAAGGAAAGACACGAGATTGTGTCTGGGACTAAACGAGGACTGGTTCAAAGATCGAACTAGGGAGAAAAGGCTCGAACAATTTTGAAGACGACCCGAAAACTTGTAGTTTGAAGCCTGCAAGCCCCAAATTGAGTCTAAGGTGTTGGGTTTCTTCAGTAGACTCCAGAACACGAATTAAATATGGTCTTCCGTTGAAAGTGCTACTTTTGGGAGCTATATATACATCAAAACGAGCAACGAGCTCCAAATTGGACAAAATTCGAACGTGGGAGACATGCCACCATAGAAGAGTTCTTCCCTCCGTGAAGAGTTGCTTCTGTTGAGAAATGTGAATAGTTTGTAAAAAACTAAAGGAAAGTCTTTGAAAAAAGGTAAGTGAAGTTAATTCGGATTAATTCTCCGTATTGAAGGAAACCTTTCTTCAATCAGAATTAATTGACCGAATTAACGGAAATTTCAATCAATTGGATTGATTTTCCATATTGAAGGAATCTTTCATGATAAGATCAATTGCCCATACTAACTGAAAGTTTCAATCAATCGGATTGATTTCTGGTATTAAATGAAACTTTTATCAATCGGTTAATTGTCTCCATTAAAGAAAGGTCTAATCAGGAGTTATTACTCTTGATTTCCTTCCTTAAGAAGATTCTCAAATCCTCCACCAAGAGGGGAAGGCTGAAGGTCTCATCCAATATAAATAGATGAGTTGCCTAACCCTAAAAGAGACAACAACGAGCATAAACACAATAGAGAGAGTGTTCAGAGAACTCGTGTTTTCGCACAAAACCGCGAGTATTGAGAGGAGCTGTTTTATCCTGGAGAAGACCGGTTGATAGTCTGTAGTGCGCATCGAAGGCAGTGCCACAAACGTCTTAAAGAGAGCGACCTAGTCCGCGACTCAGCTCCAGATTCGGTAACCTCGTTCTTGTTGTTGTTCCGTTACTAACAATTTTAAGACGTTCGAATGCTGCTATGTCGACTGAACAGAACAACATGGCCGGATCTGGTGCTGTCGATATCAATCGACCCTTCCGCTTCGTTGGAGTCAACTTCCGTCGCTGGAGACAAAAGATGGAGTTCTACCTAACAACCAAGAAGTTGGCACACTGCCTCACCAGCATGCCTGTCGAGCTGCCGGAAGAAGCGACCGCTGAGGAGAGGGCTGCTTCTGCTAAGGAAAGGGAGCATGACTTCCTGTGCAAGAACTACATCCTCAATAGCCTGGCAGACGATCTCTACGACTACTATGCGGACAGCAAGAACGCCGCGATGATGATCTGGGATGCGCTCCAAAAGAAGTACGACACAGAGGAGGCTGGAGCTAAGAAGTATGCTGTCAGCCGCTACCTGCGCTACCAGATGGTGGATGACAAGTCTGTCGAAATTCACTCCCACGAACTTCAGAAACTAGCTCATGAGATCGTCTCTGAAGGTATGCCTCTGGACGATCAATTTCAAGTTGCTTGCATTATTGATAAGTTGCCCCCTTCGTGGAAAGATTTTAAGAATATGCTTAGGCATAAAACCAAAGAATTTTCACTGGAAAGCTTGATTACTCGCCTAAGGATTGAGGAAGAGTCCCGCAAGCAGGATATGAAAG